ACAACTCCACCGATGAAGTGCATGTTGTATGTCTCTTGGCAGATTCAGAAGACTTAAGTTTTGAAGAGGCCGTGCAGGAGAAAAGGTGGAGAAAGGCAATGGACGAGGAGATCGGAGCAATAGAACACAACAGCATATGGGAGCTAACTGATTTGCCCAAAGGAGCACGACCTATCGGCGTAAAGTGGGTGTACAAGAAGAAGACAAATGCTGAAGGAGAAGTTGAACGATATAAAGCTCGACTCGTAGTGAAGGGGTACAAGCAGAAAGAAGGAATAGACTATGACGAAGTATTTGCCCCAGTGACGAGAATGGAAACAATTAGGTTGCTGATTTCCTTAACAACTCAACACAGATGGACAATCTTGTAGATGGACGTAAAGTCGGCATTTCTGAATGAAATCTTGGAGGAGGAAGTATATGTTGAACAGCCACTCGGATACATGCGAAGAGGAGAAGAGAAGAAAGTGCTGAGATTGAAGAAGGCACTTTATGGCTTGAAACAAGCTCCACGAGCATGGAATGAAAGAATTGACACTTACTTCAAAAGGAATGGATATGAGCAGTGTCCTTATGAACATGCTCTATACATAAAGAAGAAAGAAGAAGATGTGATGTTTGTTGCCCTATATGTTGATGATCTTATCTTCATGGAAAATAATGTCGAGCTAATTGAAGAGTTTAAAGAAGTGATGAAGAAGGAGTTTGAGATGACTGACTTGGGTCTTATGAAGTATTTTCTTGGCTTAGAAGTTGTTCGGGGAAAGGATGACATCTTTGTGTCGCGAGGAAAGGTATGCTTGAGGAGATCTTGAAGAAGTTTAAGATGACAAGTTGCAACCCGGTTTCCACCCCTATGGAACCTGGTACAAAACTTTCTAAGTATGCGAGATGGAGGCCAGAGTTGATGCGAGAAAATACCGAAGTCTGATTGGAAGTCTTAGGTATCTTACAAATACCAGACCAGATTTAATGTTAAGTGTTGGAATAGAAAGTCGATATATGGAGGAGCCAAGGTATACTCATTGGAAGGCACTAAAGAGAATTCTAAGGTATGTGAGAGGAACAGTGTCACTTGGCCTAATGTATACTAGGACGGATGATTATCGACTAGTAGGCTACTCGGATAGTGGCTCGGTGTGGAGATGTTGATGACCAGGAAAAACACGTCTGGATATGTATTCTTCATGGGAAACACAACATTCACCTGGCTTCCAAAAAAGCAGCCCATTGTAACGTTGTCAACTTGTGAAGCCGAGTACGTTGCGAGCATCCTGGAGTGTATCGTCATGCGGTTTGGCTTAGAAACCTTCTAAGCAAGTCGGAGTTGAAGCAAGAAAGAGGGACTGTGATTCGAGTTGATAACAAGTCGGCCATTGAATTGGCAAAGAATCCGGTCAATCATGAGAGAAGCAAACATATTGATGTTCGGTTTCACTTCATCCGAGAACAAGTGAAAGAAAGAAATGTGGAGTTAGAGCACGTTGGAACCCGAACACAAGCTGCAGATATGTTCACGAAGCCACTGTCAACCACTCTGTTCGAGAACAACAAGAAGATGCTTGGAATGAAGGACAAGAAAAGCATTTAAGTTTATGGGGGGATTTTGTTAGGTAAACATTAAATGCATGTAGTTGAGAGGTAGTGGTTATAGAGGTAGTAGTTGAGAGGTAGTTGTTGTATTGAATGTATGTAGTTGAAAGGTAGTAGTTGTATTAAATACATGTAGTTGAAAGGTCATATCCAAAGGGCCTATAAATTGACCATGCATCACTCATTGCAAATACATCAAGTGATAATATACAAAGTGCTTTATTTAGATACTTGTTTGTCTACAATTGGATAAAAAAAAAAAAATCAAGAGAAAATACTGTGATATATATATTGCATGACTATCAAGTTCCCTGCCATGAACCAACAAAGTTTTCAACAATTTCATGGACCAAAATTACCATTCTTGTCATTGATCCCATATTTCTAATTGTCAACCATGCTTCAAGAGGCTGTAGTGATGTTTTCAGTCTTTTTCTTCTTCATTATTCTTTTCCTTCTTCTGATAAACTTACATAATTACTTAAATTGTAAATGTACTGTACATGTAAAAAGGCTCACTGTACTATAAGAAATACACTTGCAATGTACAAAATTTAAACTCACTTTAAATGGACTCAGTTGAATGTGTTGTTTTGAAATGAATTCTTATGATTATTTTTTTAACGCGAAGTTACCAAGTAATGCTTTTGTTCTGCTACCTCTGTATATCTTCAAAAAAGGTGAAATTCATCTTCTACATCTGTAGGGTAACTTGTAAGTCAAGGTTACCAACACTCAGAGTCATCCTTTCATCTTTTCAAAATTATTAAAAAAAAAAAAAAAAAAAACAGCTAGTAATTCTGTTCACTAAGTGAATATTTCCTGATACATGAAAAAGGAAAGATTCTCACAACAGCTACAAAAAGTAAACACGGTCAGAATATAATAAACTATACATCGAACCCACATTGAGGAAACAACATATGTGAATAATTGCTTACACAATAAAATGAAAGACAAGCATTGCATTTAACTATGTAACCATGTAACATACACGAGGGAACTATTCTTTCGCCTTATACTAAAGAAGGCCGTGTGTCTGTTATGTAATTTGGTATATCTTAATTTTTATTAAGGGTCTTTTAATATAGGACCCTATAGTTTCACACTTCAATTTTTATCTTTGTAAAACAAATTGTGTTATAAGCTAACAATCAGTATAGTTTAAAATGTCAAACTCCCTCACTTTGGGATCATAAACTTCAATCAACTAGATTTCCAATAATTTTGTTCACAACCCTTTCAGTCCATCCTTCCCCTTCTAAGACTCATCTCAGCAGATAAGATTTTCTATTATTTATTCTTTCTACTGTGTTATATTCAATGTTTATTTATTCTTTCTACTGTGTTATATTCAATGTTCATCCTGTAGGTGCTTAGGGCTTTTAATGTGAGGCCTTAATTCTGGAGGGACCTCTACTTGCCTTCTTGTTAAATATTACACTTATTCAGTGAATAAATGATACTGTCCCTCTTTTATGTGTTTTATTCCTTGGATGTTTTCAGTATTAATGAAAAATCTCATCAATATCAGAGGAGAAATATAAACACTGTTAGTAAACTGTTTACACTGATAAATGTAAAACTTGTGTAAAACTCAGCATATCAAGTGAGTAAACTGTTTAGGTAATAAAATGAAGGTGTGTTGCGTCTTTTCATAAGCTCTTTCTAGATATAGGGAGACATTTTCTCAATGTAGCCCAAGTTTCCAAATCTTAATATGATCGCCTTAGATGATAAACTGAATGACACTCAAACAAAAGGTAATGTTAGATCATGCTATCCTAGAATTTCATAATAATAAGGGTGACAATAATTTTATAGGGCCGTGTCAACAAATGTAAACAGTAAAACCATGCGTGAAGTGATCATGGAGAATAAAATAACTAATATAAACTTCATCACTAAGGTTAATAACTAAATAAAGTTACCTCCCAGAAAGTTGAATCCAAGTCTATTAAAGAGTTATAAAAAAACATCTTCCAAGTTAGTTAATTTAACTTATCCAAAACTATGATTACATATGTGGCAGTTACAAAAAAAAAAAAAAAAAAAGTGCTAGTTGTAAAACTAGGAAAAAAAAAATATGACACTGTTGCCATTTTACATGTAACAGAAAACGAAGAAAGGAAATATCTGAGTAAAAGTCAACATGGATAGGAAAAATAAACTTTTCAAAACAAGAGATAAATTAAAATTTTTAGTACTACAAAGAAAAAGAAGAAGATGAGAGCATGTATAGAAGATATGATATATCCATTCTACCATATAAAATAGTATTTAAAATAACCAAATAATTGTCATAAATGCCTTTTATTATATAGGTAGCATAATACTACATTGTACTGGTAGAATAATATTGTCAATTATAGTAAAATTAACAATTATAAAGAAGACTGTGAAGCAGTCTGTTGAGACCACAGATGAAGATAGAATCCATGCATTATGGAAATGCATATCTTTTCCCTACTAAAACCTGTTTACACTAAAAAAATGCAAAGAGATCAGATTTTTAGATCACTGCATGTGATAAATACGAATCAAACTAACTTCATATGAACTTGTCTTAAGAGCAATATAGAGTATAAGGTTGCAATGAACCCCAATTGAAGAGATGTTTAGTTACGGTCTTATCTTGGGCTGAACACGTGTGACTCTAAGAGACCAATCAAGAACTTTCTATCTGGCAAAGAAGATTTCAAGTTTTATATGCTTTGTTTGCAATTGAAGGATTAGATTGTGGCTTAGTGCAACTGTTTTCTGGTTGTCTCGGTAGGTAGTATACATTGAATATGAAGTTCTTTGAATAAGGATTGAACTTAGAGAACTTCAGATGTGTTTGCAAGACTGTGACACTCTGCCTCACCAGTCGACTTAGCCCAAAGGAAATACACAAACAAGAGGTTGACCTTCTTCTGTCATCAACATCAGACCTCTAATCTGCATTATAGATTATAAGGTTACAAACCCGAAGCCAAAACTGTTAGTAATAGTCTTAATTATATTATTTTTTATAAATATGATAAAGGCCCACATTAGTGGAGTATTAAGTAGAAGTAAGGTGTTTACACTATAAACTTAAACATATGTATAGTAAGATTATTATGGAGCTGTATGATAAGGGCATAGCGAACTATTCTTTCGCCTTTTACTAAAGAATACCGTGTTCTTATCATTTTTATCAGTGTACACAAATTTTTCGAAAGGGTCTTTAATAAGGACCCTATAACTTAGTTTCAAAGGTAATTTATTCTTTAGTATTATGACAACTGTAATTTATTCTTTAGTATTATGACAACTTTTTATGATAAATGTTGTTAATTTTAAAGGTAATTTATTCTTTAGTATTATGACAACTTTTATGATAAATGTTGTTATAGAAATAATATTTTGTTTGTAAGTGTTACATTGTTTGTAGCTGTCTGGATACTTTTATACATTGTTTGTGCTTTCATCCAAGTGGAATTAATTGGTGCCTTTTCTAGAACCATCTAGCTTTTGAAATGTTAAAATGCATCATCTATACTAAAATACACTTTCACAAGTGTAACACAGACGTTTAAGTGTAGCTGTTGTGACAATATAAAAGCTTACAGAATGACAATAATATAAGGACCGAAGATGAATTGAGGTAACAAAATTCATAAGAAGATAAAATAGTAGAAAGATATAGTATTACTCTTCAAAGATAATTCTCCAACATACAAATATGGAAAAGATGATTTAAGTCTCAGAGAACCATAACCCCTTAAAACAAATTAATCTTTAACAGATCATTTCAATTAGAAGAAAAACTCATGCAACTATAAGCAAAATGGAACAATTTGTAAGAAATCTAAATTATCTGAAGTCAAAATTATTTTGAAAAATTATATATCAAATCCATATAAATTCATCACTGGTTAATAATGATCTACTAGAGTGCAAATTGCTCACAAGAACATGTACAGAACCCAAACAGCACTAACCAGGTTTACTGGCTAATTACAGTAATACACATCTTATAAAATAATAGCATTATGCTGCATATGTGTAACTTGACACAACTCTCCAAAGTAATGCATTCCTCCATTCACATTTGTATTTCTCTTTGCATGCAATCAAATTGTACAAAACAAACTTTGATAAACCATAACAAAAATAAGTCCAATTCGACAAGTATGCTAGCATAGTTTTCCATTCTGAATTCTGTTACACAGGATAGTTTTCTTTGTGTCAAATAGAACTGAAAATTTTAGTAAGTTATAATAATAAAGGACACAAATAAAATACAAAATTCTAATATTTGGCCTACCAAACAATTTGATTATGTTTTATTTGTGATTTTCCACCACAATAGTAGGAGACAAAACCCATTTAAGCATCCACGGTCTTTGCATTTTTGTGACCTCAAAACTACAGATAATATTCCAATTCTAGACATGAAACATGAGAAGTTTGACATTTAATATTAAAGCCCACATCTTGTAATAATCAAACAAAATGATCCATTAATGTTATAAAATTAAAGGATTAAGCTTAGGTTACCACTGAGCCGTGTACTAAACACACAGTGAATTAATCTTTCGCCTTTTACTACAGAATACTGTGTGTTTTTTTACTGAAATGGCATAAGTTAATCTTTTTTAAAGGTCTTTTATAAAAGATCTACAATAATATTTAATTATTTTCTTTTATTACTTTTAGAATAGTAATTATGATTTTGAAATGATAAAGTCAATTATTATATAGGCTTTAAAAGAATCATGTAATAATAGTTAGATAATAATTAGAATTATTAATGTTAATTTGATCTAAAATATTTTTTTAAAATAATAATAATAATTGTTATATCAAATTATATTTAAATTGTCTAATATGTTACAATTGCTTCTGACTTTTTATTTGTTAAAGATGTAATAAATAAATGATTTTCAAATTCTTCTTGTACACTCTTAGATTTATTTTATTTTAATAAACCTTCTCAATTTTAATTAAATTGATTTTAAGTCAGACTTGAATAAAAAAATATATTTTTTTATGATTATTTTTCTTAGAAAATTATTTTTCCATGTCCTCTTCCATGTTTTCTACAGTTGTAGTTGGAATTAGGACTACCTCAAATTTTTTATTATTTAATAAAATCAAATCATGTATGTAGAGTAGAGTATGCTATAAATTTTTTGAATAATGACTTTTTCCTCTCTTTTAGTATATTAAATACATATTGCAACAACGTAACCAAGTTATGCGTTATAATATAACCACTAAATTATGTTTTTTTTTAAGATTTTAAATTTAAATATTATATTAATGTACAAATTATTTTAAACATATTTAAGTTATATATTGAATATAATATATTTATTTTTAGATATTATATTAATTTTATATATAAATTTTGTATATTTTGTTAAATTAAATATATATTGCTTAAAAATATTAATGTTAGTGATAATTATAATTTTAATAAAATTAAAGAATAGTTACAACATTCTTAATTAATTACAACTATAAATTTTAAAGGTTATATTAAAACTTTTATTTATAATTAATTATATGTAACGCGATAAAATCTATTTATAATTTTTTTTATATATTTATATGATTGAAATGTGAAGTATATTTTTCAGTTTATAAAAACGTATAATTTAATAATTTTATTATTATTTTAATTAAAAAAAATTAATAAAAAAAATTATGTCTTTAAATATATGAATTAAGATATTTATAAATTGATAGTAATTATCTGTTTTAAACCTTTTTTACTGGTTAATTGGTGAGGTATTGAAATTCCTTTTCAAAGCCCGCATCTTGTACTAATCAAACAAATTGATCTGTTAATGCTATAAAATGAAAGTATTAAACTGTTTGTAATCACTGAGCTGTATACTAAGCACAGAGCGAACTATTCTTTCGCCTTTTACTAAAGAATACCGTGTGCTTTTTATTAAAATGGCATAAGTTAATTTTTGTATTAGACTCCTAAAGGGTCTTCAATTATAGTTAAAATTTTTTAAAAGAGCGATATAATAGGATTGACGGTCTTACAGTAAACTAGTTAATCATTCTATGTTTCATTTTTATTATAATTTATTTATATTCTATTTATTTAATTATTTTTAAAAGGTATTCTAAAAATATAAATTTAATTATATAAATAATTTTTTATTTTTTATTTATTAATTAATATTTTTATTATTTAAAAAGTTTATTATATTAGTATATTAAATTATTTAATTATAATAAATAATTTAAATTTAATTAATTAATATTTATAATTTAAATTATAATATATTTATACATTTTAACATAATAAAAAATTTAATATTTTTAATTATAATTATTTTAATTTTAATAAATATTTTTTTAAAATAGATCCACTGTACTTGATTAGTTAAACGAGGGATAAAATATATTAAAATTATTAACTCCATATTTCTGAGTTAGGTGAAGCGAAAACAAAATGATAGAGTTAGGCGTAAAATCTACTCTAGTTTATTTTACTATTTTTTATTTTATTTTATTATTATTATTATGGTTTAATGTAACCCATAAAATGAAAATAACGTCAATCTTAAATAATATTTTATATTTTATACATTTTTTAAACAGAATTTTTGCATTGATAACTAGGTGATGTTTCATTAAAATAGATTTTAAAGGTTAAATATCAAAGCCAAATATTAATTTATTATATAAAAACACTTACATAATATATTTCTGTATAATAGAATGCATAATTGATTTTGGATATGTATTTATATAATAAGTTTTCATATTATGCTATATACTAATTACAATCTCTACTTAACAATATAATTTTATATTGTATATCATATTGTTGGACAAATAGTAGTTAGAGGGTGAATAGATACACAAATTAAAATATATGTTAATTTAAAAATTTATTTTAAGATGTCTAATAATTTCTTGATTCAATTTTAATTATCAAATTGAACGTGGAAGCGATGTAATAAGATAACTAAAGGGAAAGATTATAGAGAAGAGAAGGACACTATAGGGAAAAAAAGTTCACACAGAGATTTATACTGGTTTGGGTATAGTCAACCCTACATCCAGTTTTCAGTAAACTCTAATCACAAGTAACATCAATTCACTATCTTTCAAATTCAGTTTACAAATTACAATCAACTCAGCAGAGGAATCAGTAAAAAACAAACTAATTCAAAAAATAATCACCTCCTTAAAAACCCACTAAGGATGAACATTTTTCTAGAATCCCACTAGGGATGAATACCTCCTCTGAACAAATCAAATGATGAAAAACACCTCATTTGCAACCAACACATAAAAAATGAACACCTCCCTAAAATCACACTAGGGATGAACATCTCCTCGAACAAATCAAATAAATGAACAGTTTCCACACAGGAAACCCAAAGAAATATAACAGAATAACAACAATCACTTAAACCCTAAAGAGGGAATTTAACATCAACTTCCTGAAAAAATAAGAATAGTCATACCTGATAATGGACACAACAAATTATAGAAGTCTATACAATGCAAACCTCCAAGAATAAGTGTATAACGATGTTTTAATCTTGTTCAAAAAGTGTATTGTATGATTGATTGAAATAAAACTTTCAAAACTGTTATATTTATAGTAAAATAAGTCTTCTTCGTCTTATGCATTAAATTCAAATTTACTTCATCAATTTTATAATTTATTTCCATCTTATAACAATGGGTCATCAAACTCTGGTGTAATATATGGACTATAAAAAATTCTCTCTTTCCCTTTATTTCTCTTTGTGCTATGAATCCTTGAACTTTCACTTTTACTCACCATCTTTTTCCCTTTTGTTCGGTTTAGGTAACTATTTTGTTTAGGATTATTGTCTTCTCTAAAGTAAATGTCATCAAGGTAATAACATTCTTTGATGTAGAACTTCTTAAAATCTTATTTTTAGTCACCTTTTTACTTTGATTTTGAGTTACTATAATTGTTGTTGAGATGACAACATTTGCATTTTCTTTTTCACAATCTTTTTTTTAAAGTGAATTCATAAATAATAATACCTTCATAAGAAATCCCAACAACTGCATCACTTCCCTAACAATCTTATTATCCTTGACACTCTTTCTCATTACTAAATGCTTTTAGCAGTAACACCTTCTAATAAATTACCCATGTAATAATAAAAAAAAAAATTTAACAAACTACTTTGATTTTGAGTTTCTCCTCATCATTTAAATGAACAACTAAACTTTTTAATTTCCTAACAAAATTAGACATACCCATAACGTCTATATCATCCTTAAATTCTCTAAGATTTTCAAAGTTTTCATTCATCATTTTGGACCACATTTTCATATTCGACGAGGCATTGTATTTCAAATCTTTTACTATGTTAAAAACTTCAAAATAACTCCATCTACTAATGTCTAGTCCATGTACCACATGAACTTGATGCCTTTCTATTGGATTATTAGATCATTTATCCAATATCCCATACGATGGATCTCAAGCGTAAAAGATATTCTTACAAAACAAAAACCATTCAAAAGACAACCAAAATAACACTCAATCTAATCCTAAATTCATAACCTTCAACTTTAATCAAACACAATCAAAACTACTAAAGAGCTCCACAAAGAGAAGAGTGCACACAAAATCTCAATCAATAAACTAAATCAGAAGAACCAAGAAATAAGAAAAGCTTACCCCATGTTCACTGTAATCACTAAATTGATTTCATCCTCGTATAATATCTATATGAAATTCCCAAAATTGATTTGGAAAACTTTTCTAATTAACTCAACATTTTCAAAATGTTAAAGATGATTTTTCACAACACAACAATACGTAGGAAAAATGTAGCACATGGCACCATAATAAAATTATCACATCAAAAGCTTAGTTAGTTATATAGACCAACAATAAATAATCAAAAATCAAATGTTTGTATATATCAAGCTTCAATACTTATCATAATCACCAAATTGATTTTACATTCACTCTCTTTCTATGAAAACCCCAAAATTGATTTAACAAACTTTGATTTTAGATTAACTAAAACAACATTTTCACGTAAAATTATGACAAGTAAAAATACAATAAAATTATCACGTAAAAAGTTATATTAGTTATGTAGATAAACTTTAATAGTATTAATTTTTTTATTTATAAAATATGTTTTCAGTTTAGAGATGTTGGACAATAAAATTGTTCCTACTAAAAATTACTTTTATTCTAAATCGTGTACTTATATTTATAGTACATTAAACACATTTGAATTCTACCATCCAACATAATTAACAAAATTAAATTAATATCTTAACACACCCTTTTAATTCAATGTATCTAAGGATACTACATTCAACATGCTTCTTAGATCTTTGAATCTCTTAATCTTCATGGGTTTTGTCATAATTTATGTTATTTGCAATTCCAATTTGCAGTTCACTAACTCAAGTCTCTCTTTGTTCACTTGAACAGAAAATGGTACTTTGTCTCAATATGCTTAATTTTTTCATGTGCCACCATATTTTTTTACTAAGTTGATAGTTAACTTGTTATCAACCAAGGGTTTCATTGGGCCTTGCGGTTTCACCTGTAGTTCCTTGAATAGGGATCTCAACCAAAGCGCTTGATAGGCTACATGTGATAATGTACTCTGCCTCATAGATAGACAAAGTCACCCGTGTTTGCTTCTTGGAACATCAAGAAATAGGTGCTCCATGGAGCTTAAATACATATCTATTAGTACTATTTCTGTTCACTTTGTCACCATACCAATCTGAATAAAAAAAATCAATTAACCATTTAGATAACTTATTAGGAAACAACACACCATAATAAGGACTCCCCTTTAAGTATATCAATATTCTCTTGTTGTCACTAGATGTGATTGTCTAGGATCCTTCATAAATCTACTTATGAGGCCAACTTCATATGAAATGTATGGTATGCTATTGCAAATGTACCTCAATGAGTCAATGATCTACTTGTATAAAGTGTTCTCTAGTAGTTTCTCCTTTTTCATCTTTCAATAGTTTGGTATTTACATCGATTGGAGTCGATGCCTCATTGCAATGTGACATATTTTCAACACTTCAGATATGTACTTCTTGATGTAGAAGAATTCTCTTATAAGTTATTGTAAACTTCACACCTAAAAAATAAGTGAGGACTCCTAAGTGTCTTCATCTTCAGTTCCAGTACCTTAGAGTTAGAGGTCGATACTCCAACCACTAAGCTACCAAAATTTTTTGATAATAATTTATAAATAAATTATATTTATATATTTATATATTTGTATTTTAATATTTTAATATATTTATATATTTATATATTTATATATTTATATATTTATATATTTATATATTTATATATTTATATATTTATATATTTATATATTTATATATTTATATATTTATATATTTATATATTATATTTTTCTATTTTTATATTTTTATATTTTTATATTTTTATATATTTATATATTTATATATTTATATATTTATATTTTATATTTTTATATATTTTTATATATTTATATATAATTAAATATTTATTTTTAAAATTATTTAATTTAAGAAATTATTATAAATTAATCTAATTATGATTAAATTAAATTATTAAATAAAAAATATTTAATTTTTTAATTAGTTGAATATTTACTAATTGTTAATTTATTGATAGAAATATCCGTCGGTAATTTACGGATGGATTTACCGACTGGATATATCCGTCGGTAATTAATTATTAATTTATCGACGGATATATCCGTCGGTAAATTCAGCTGTAAATTATCGACGAATATATCCGTCGGTAACTAATTATTATTTTACCGACGAATATATCCGTCGGTAAGATCAAATTCCACAAATATTTTATATCCGTCGGTAATAATTATTTTTCGATGGTTACAAATCCGTCGGTAAATATCCGTCGATAATACGTGATTTTCTTGTAGTGTCTAGAAAGTCCAGTTGAACAAGGAAGGAATCAATTCTCCTGTTTCAGGAAGGCTTGTTTTAATTCATAGAGAGCCTTTCTGAGTCTGTAGACTCTTCCTTCTACCTCTTGTACTTCAAATCCAAGAGGTTAAGACACATAAACCTCTTTTTCTAGTGAACCATTCAAGAAGGCAGACTTCACATCTAACTGAAACAGTTTTCAACCTCTAAGGTTAGCTAGAGATACCATCAATCTAATTGTCTTAAGTTTGGCCACAGGTGCAAATACTTCATAATAGTCCAAGCCAAGTTTTTGTAGAAAACCTTTAGCCACCAATTTGTTGGAAATATTACTTTATTATCTTTTATTTAAATTAGGTATTAAGAGATTTTTTATTATTCTTTAAAATAAGAGAAAAATATATTAGATTATTATTTTGATTAAAGTAGTTATCATTGAGATATTGTTAATATTTGATATTTTGTCATATTTTTACCTTCTCTATATAGAGAATATATGAGCACATGAATAACAGAGATGGAGACATGCTCATATGAGATATATTTCACGTATCAGAAATACACATACACAAAACCTTAAAAATTCTCATCATAGTTTGTGCATGACAACTGATCCATTAGGTTTATGCTTTGATTTAAACACTTATTTGAGAGGTATGAGTCATTTGTTTAATGGAAACTCCACCAATTCCTAGGTCTGGTTTATCTTAATAGCTTTGAGTTCTTCTTTCATAACCTCCATATGCTCACTTCTTTTGACTGCTTATTCAAAGGTGATAGGCTCATAATCAACTAGAAAGGCCATATAGACCAAATATCTATTAGTTATAATCATATCATCATATAACACCTCATATCATCAAACCGGGTTGGCAAGTGCTTAGACCTTTGGGAACTTGTGTTGTGTCTATGTAGCCTCATTTTTCTTCTCATGATATTTTTCATAAAGGAACTTGTAATGACAGGTTGCTTAGACCATTCTAATGCTTCTGCTTCATCAATGTGCACATCCCTGCTAAACATTATCTTCTTGGTAATTGGATGTAACTGAAATATACATACATGCAAAATAATTCAAACAAAAAATGGAATCTTAGTTATCAATTTTGAGTTATTTCTAACATAATGTGTAAGATAAGGATTAAGAATTAATATATTTATTTTGATCGAATAATCTAGATATATTTTATTAAAATTATTTATTTCATCCTTTTTTCTTTCATTAGGAATGTGTCTGAAACATAGAGAGCTAAATATTCTCAAGTATTTCATACTTGGTAGAGGGGTTCCTTATTAAGAGAGGTAAAAGAAAATTCTTCCAAAATTGAACTTATAAACAAGTAAAAGGCATAAGCAAATAAACAAGTTAACTTTTCAATACTCATTAAATTCAAGTTGGAAAAAAATATAAGCATGAGGGTTTTATATATGGATGATCATCCTCTCCTTACTCATTAGCCTAAGACATGTGGGACTAATTCACCTTTCTACACAAATTTGCACATACCCTCCTTCAAGTTCCACATAGCATGCTCTTATTTATATTTTAATCTTTATAAACAACAATTCTCCCAAATGTTAACCAAAAGGTGGATTTTGAGGAATAGCTTTGGTTGTCTCCATATCATGTAAATGACTCCATGTTGACTTGGTCTAAATATGACCTTTTTTAACAAAGAAGAATAAATATTACAATTTTATACAATTTTTACATGGTCATATGATTGGAATAACCTGTATCAAGATACTAGATTTTAGTGTCACTTGACTCAATAGTTATTATCATCATGAGGAGCATATTGGATCATAATCACCATCTTGAGCCATATAGCTTCATAGTCATCCTTTTTCTAATGTAATTTATTGAATCTGGACTCAACAACAAAGTGACCATACTTGTGATAATTATAGTAGTGTACCCTCCTCTTGTTAAAAGTCTTCTTGCTTCCTCTGCCACGATTATGACCACCTCTACCTTTTCTATTTAAGGTTTCACCCTTATCATGATCAACACCATTATGATCATTACTTCTATAACTTCAATTTTTCAATCCTTTTCCAAATCCTCTCCTTCTTCTACCTTTTCCTCTATTAGCTCCATCTTTCTTGTGACTTAGATTTACAGTGCATGATCTAGTGTCCTTTCATTGCTTCTTTGATTCATGAGCTTCCAGGGAACCTTGTAGTTTTGTAATCTTCATCGTTTCAAGATTTTTGGACTCCTCAATAGTAACCACTATGTAATCAAATTGTGGAAACAATGTACGCATCACCTTTTCTATGACCATCAGGTATGTTATCTTTTCACCATAAGTCTATTAGAATCACACAACGAAATGTTTGCGTTTATGGACAAAAATCAAAAGGGGGGGTGAATTGGTTTCTTAAACAAAAATTAGGGTTTTAAAATTTTTCCCAAATTTCACGATTAAAATGCTTTGTAAAGTAAATAGATAAGGGAAAGAAGATTACACAATTGATTTATACTGGT